AGAGAGAGAGAGAGAGAGAGAGAGAGAGAGAGAGGAGGGGGGGGGGCACTGAAAACAACTGTAAGCCTGAATTAAAAAGGGGTGTGTGTGCGTGCGAGAGAGAGAGGAGAGAGAGTGAGAGAGAAAGAGAAGAGAGAGTGAGAGAGAGAAAAAGAGAGAGAGAGAGAGAGAGAGAGAGAGGGGGGGGGGGGCACTGAAAACAACTGTAAGCCTGAATTAAAAGGGGTGTGTGTGCGAGAGAGAGAGAGAGAGAGAGAGAGAGAGAGAGAGAGGGAGGGAGAGAGAGAGGGCAATTCAACAACAATCTGTGATCTCCCCTCTCCAACGGAGAAAAAGCCCAAATGAGTTTTCTAGCCAGATGCCCCCTGGTGGCCATCATCAAGGCTTCCATGGACCAGCCACAGAACACCTTCCCCGGCTGCCTGGCTGGGGAAGGAGGAAAGTGGGTAAAAGGCCCAAGCTCTTGCCCACACAGGCTGGGCCCCAGGCCCCGCTCCAGCTCCATTCACAGGCCTGCATTTGGCAAACTTGTGTATTTTTTTAATATATATTTTATTTTAATTTTTTTACAGAGAGGAAGGGAGAAGGATAGAGAGCTAGAAACATCAATGAGAGAGAAACATCGACCAGCTGCCTCCCGCACCCCCCACCCCCACTGGGGACGTGCCCACAACCAAGGCATATACCCTTGACCGGAATTGAACCTGGGACCCTCTAGTCCACAGGATGGTGCTCTGTCCACTGAGCCAAACCGGTCTCGGTAATTGCACATCTTTTAAAAAATGTTTTGTCTTGGCCAGTTTGGCCCAGTGGATAGAGTGTTGGCCTGCAGACTGAAAGGTCCTGGGTTCGATTCCAGCGTAGGGCACATTCCTGGGTTGTGGGGTTCGATCCCCAGTATGGGGCGTGCAGGAAGCAGCCAATCAACGATTCTCTCTCATCATGGATGTTTCTATCTCTCCCTTTCTCTCTGAAATCAATAAAAATACACATTTTAAAAAATGTGTTTTTATTGATTTTAGAAAGAAAGGAAGGGAGAGGGAGGGAGGGAGAGAGAGAGAGATAACAATCTGCTGCCTCCCGTTCTGGAATACGGGAGGCAGCAGATTGAGCTCTGACCTACAACAGAACTGGTAACCTTTTGGCGAACAACAGGATGCTCAACCCACTGAGCCACACCAGCCAGGGCCACACCTCATTTCATTGACACAGATGATGAGGAGCCCCATTTAATCCGCCTGCAGAGAGTGTGCAGGGGGAGCTAGATGAAGAATGCCAACGTTAAATCCAGTTTCATGCTCCTGGTGAAGGGCCACAGCCCCACATCAGTCCAGAGATGACTCCTCAGACGTGGATTTAGGAGGACGGACGTGTAAAACTCTACCTTAGATTTGCCCGGCCATGTGGCTCAGTGGTTGGGCACTGACCTGTGAGCCAGGATGTCCCAGTTTGATTCGCTGTCTGGACACATGCCTGGGTTATGGGCTTGATCCCCAGGAGGGGGCGTGCAGGAGGCAGCTGATCCATGATTCTCATCTTTGATGTCTCTCTCTTTCTCTTTCCCTCTCCCTTCTTCTCGGAAATCAATAAAACTATTCTTTTAAAAAGGAAATGAATAGATTTTATCTCGACATAAAGGATGGGATTTGGCACAGAGGGAGTTCTCATTGGGTTTGTCCATAAAGCAGTTATGAAGGCCAAGACTTGCCTGATTCTATTTATGCTTCTATTTACGGGAACATTAGAAGGAACTCCCAGGAGTCCCTGTGTTTGTTTTGTTTTAAAATATATTTTTATTGACTTCAGAGAGGAAGGGAGAGGAGAGGAAATAGAAACGTCAACGATGAGAGAGAACCGTTGATCGGCTGCCTCCCGCACGCCCCACACATGTGCCCTGACCGGGAATTGAACTGTGACCTCCTGATTCATAGATCGATGCCAACCACAGAGCCACACTGGGGAGGGCAGTGGCAGGCGTGCTAATGAGAACTCAGCGAATGGGGTCGCCCTGCGGGATCCTGCCCCTGCCCTTGCCTCAGCCCCTCCGGAGAACGGCAGTGGGGACAGGTCAGGGCACCCCTGCCCGGAGCAGGGTCTCCCCAAGCCCCAGCCTCAGCACCCTCACTTCCAGGAGCAGGTATGACTCCCACTGGCATTCGGTTTGTGTTCATGGATGCTGGGAGACGCTTTTTCATCCCAGAAGAGAAAGCAGCAGGCACACAGCTGTGCACTTGAGTTTTTTTTATTGTTGTTATTTTTAAATATGTTTCTTTATTGATGTCAGAGAGGAAGCGAGAGGGAGAGATAGAAACATCAATGATAAGAGAGAATCATTGATCGGCTGCCTCCTGCACGCCCCCTACTGGAGATCAAGCCCATACCCCCCGGGTAGGTGCCCCTGACCCAGAATCAAACCTGGGACTCAGTCCACAGGCCAACACTCTATCCACTGAGCCACACCAGCTAGAGCTGCACTTGAGTTTTGCTTTCCCTAAACTGCCCCCTCTCCCCAGCGGGAGGCTGAGCTGTGGCCTGGGAAATGGCTCCTGCTGGAGGGAGTCCTGTGGCTGCACCACCCGCAGGGGGCACCTCCCTGGCCGAGGCCCGGGGCTCCAGACCCCAAATACTGTCTGGTGTCCTCACAGGTGGCTTTTGTCCAAGTGCTCACGAGCTGGCTCTGGCTGGTATGGCTCAGTGGATAGCGCTCTCCTGCAGACTGAAGGTCCCAGGTTCAATTCCCAGTCAGGGCACAAGCCCGGGTTTGTGGGCTTGATTCCCCAGTAGGGGGCGTGCAGGAGGCAGTCGATCAATGATGCTCTCTCATCGATGTTTCCACTCTACTTTGTTTTTTAAAATTTATTAAAAAATTTTTTTAGCCGAAACCAGTTTGGCTCAGTGGATAGAGTGTCAATCTGCTGACTGAAGGGTCCCAGGTTCGATTCCGGTCAAGGGCATGTACATTGGTTGCGGGCACATCCCTGGTGGGGGGTGTGCAGGAGGCAGCTGGTCGATGATTCTCTCTCATCGATGTTCCTAGCTCTCTATCCCTCTCCCTGCCTCTCTGAAAAAATCAATAAAATATAAAAAAGGAAAAATATTTTTAAAATAGATTTTATTGATTTTTTACGGAGAGGAAGGGAGAGAGATAGTCAGAAACATCGATGAGAGAGAATCATTGACCAGCTGCCTCCTGCACACCCCCCACCGGGGATGTGCCTGCAACCAGCTGGAGAGCCATTCCCTGGCCACAGGGCGAGCCCTGGGCAGCAGGGAAGACCCCACGGAGGACGGACGGATGGATGTGCAGCCTCCGGGAGCGCCCAGATCTCTCATCCAATCGGGGACGTCAGCACAACGGGCACAGCTGTGCAAACAGCACTCAGGCGGGCGCCCCTCGCGCCCACGGAGCCTCCGCTCAGGGTCCCGTCCCCGGGGCAGGACCCTCCCGGCCGAGCTGCCTGCTGTGGGCACCGCGCCTCCGCCGCCCGCCCGCTCCGGCTCACAGCCGTGCCGGAGGCTCCGAGCCGCCTCACTTGTGTGGAGGGTGTCAGTCCTGGCAGGCGCCGGCCCCGGGGGACGGAGGGGTCCCGGCCTGCGTGTCAGGGGGAGGGAGGAACCCGGACAGAGCTGCTGCCTCCAGATTGCTCCCAGCTGCGGCCGGCTCGGAGGCCTCAGAGAAGTGTCTGGGACGGGCGCGGAGGGGCGTGCTCCGGAGATAAGGCCCGGGAGAGGCCCCCTTTGGCAGGGAGAGAGGAGCGGGGCTCCCGCCCTGGGCCTCGGCATCCGGCGGAGACGAGGGGAGCCGGCAGCGTCCGGCTGTGGGGCGTGTCTTCGCCGGGGTGGCAGGCTTGTTTGGGGGAGGGAGCTCGGGGTTCAGCGTGTCTCGAGGGGGTGACTGAGCCCTGCAGAGGGCCAGCCGGCGGGCGGCGCTCCGGGTGAGGGGGACCCTCCGCTGGCCGGGGGACCCGCGTGGGGACTTGAACTTGCAGGGGGAAGTCTGACCCGCAGGGGCAGGTCAGGCCTGAGGCACAGGCCCCCTGGGCCCCTGCTGCTCACCCCCCCCCCCAGCCTCAGAACAGGCAGCTGCGGAGGTCACAGGAGCCCCTGACCCTCGGCTGCCGGCTGACCACAAGGCAGAGTGTAAGCAGAAGCCACAGTGCACACACAGCCAGGGTCCCACGGGGGCTCCCTGGGCAGATGTAAGGGGCCGGGCCGCATGGAGGAGAAACCCAACACCCACCGGACCAGGGCCCGGACCCCATCCGGCCCGGCCAGGCACTGCCCTCCATCCCCAGGGCCCTGGACCCACACCTCAGCCCCCCTTCCCAAGCTGCTCACTCTGCTCACACTGTCTCTCCTGCCATCGTCACAGGGGAACCCTGGCCAGCACCAACGCCCAGCACCGGCAGGGAGCGGTGGGCGGTGCGGGTCTCCATGCCCAGACAGGGGCCTGTGACGCTTGGAGAGTGAAGGCTCACACACACACACACACACACACACACACACACACACACATATGTGCACACATGCACACACACCGACACACGCACATACACTGACACGCACACATATGTACACACGTGCACACATGTACACACATGCACACGCACGCGTACACACACGCACACTGACACATGTGTACACACGTGCACACATGCACACGCACTCACACACGCACACACACACCACCCTGAGGACACGGGCCGGGCCGGGACACCACCCCTCCGCCCTGCAGAGCTCGGTTGGGGCCAGAAGCCGGAAAGGGCACGGCGCCCGGGAGAGGCCAGAGGCCGAGGCCGAGGCCGAGGCGGGCGGGAGCCACCTGGAGAGCCAGTCTCTGGTCTGCCGGCCGCGCCCACGGGATCAGGTGGGGCTCCTCGGGGTGCAGGGGGTCACACAGGCCCCTCCTCAGCACCAGCTGGCCACGGGCCTCCGCCCGCCCGGGCCCTGCCAGGGGCTGGTGTCCGGCGACGAGGGACGCGTCTAAAGAGGCTGCAGGACTCGGTTTACATCCGGTTTAATCGGTACTGGAAGGTGCGGGTGTTAGTGGGGCGGAGGCAGAGGATGCCTGGGGCCCCCAGAGTGAGCAATGACTGAAGAGGGAGAGCATCGCTGGGGTGCAATCCGGGGTGGGGGGGAGACACCTGCTGACCCCCAGCAGGGAGGACCCCATCAGAAGCCAGAGGGGGCTCCGTGCCAGCGCTGCCTCCGGGGTCCCGGTGCCGGGCCCTGGCCCTGCAGCCAGTGACCTCGGGTGAGGGCACCTGTGGACCTGCCGGCCGCTGACCGCACCCCCAAACCCTCTTCCCGCCTCTGCGGGTCCTGGCTCCTCCCGGAAGCCCCGGGGGACCTGGCGGGACCCAGCCCCCGTCCACCTTCTAGCGACTCCCTGGACCCGGGCGGCCAGCTGGACCCGGGCCCTTCGCCCAGCGGGAGCCCGGCCGCCCCGCCCTCCGTCCTGGGCTTGTGCCTGGGCCTGTCCGGGTCCGATTCCTCACGCCGCCCAGACCCCCCTCCGTCTCCCCTCCGTCTCCCCGCTGCCTCCGCCCAAAGGGCGCCGCCGGGTGAGTGTCCCCGCGGGGCGGGCAGGCGGGGCCGCTGCGGCCGGAGCTGCGGCGGCCGGTCCGGCCGCGGAGCGAGGACTCGGGGTCACGCGGAGGCCGAGCCCGCACCCCGAGCCCCGGGACGAGACCCTGTTCGGGCGCCGGGAGCGGGGCCCGGGCTGCGGCTGCGGCGGTCACGGCCCCCGGGCCCCGGGCCCCGGCGGCGGCGCGGGGCGCGGGGCGCGGGCGCGCTCGGCCTCGGGGGTGCAGGCCGTGGCGGACAGCGCCCTCTCGCGGCCGGAGCGGAAGGCGGCCGTCACGGTGAGCAGGTAGGCGGTGCCGGGCGCCAGGCCGCGCAGGGCCGTGCTGTTGCGGCCCGCGGGCACCTCCACGCGCTGCGCCGCGCCGCCCCGCAGCGGCCCCGCCTGCACGTGGTAGCCGGGCGCGCCCGCCGGCGCCCAGCTCACCCGCAGGCTGTGCGGCCGCACGTGCGACACCACGAGGCGCTCCGGCCCGGCCTCCTCTGCGGCCTCCTCTGGGGCCTCCTCTGCGGGGGGGGGGGGGAGCGCGTGAGTGGGGGGCCCCCGCCTCCCCGCACTCCCATCCGCCCCCGCGCCCGGCTCCCGGCTCCCCGATCCGCCCCCGGCTCCCCCGGACCCCACTCCGCGCCCCGCGCCCCGTGCCCCCCGCCCCGCGCCCGCCTCCCGGCTCCCGGCTCCCCGATCCGCCCCCGGCTCCCCCGGACCCCACTCCGCGCCCCGCGCCCCGTGCCCCCCTCCCCCCGCCCCGCGCCCGCCTCCCGGCTCCCCGATCCGCCCCCGCCTCCCCCGGACCCCACTCCGCGCCCCGCGCCCCGTGCCCCCCGCCCCCCGCCCCCGCGCCCGCCCCCGGCTCCCCCGGACCCCACTCCGCGCCCCGTGCCCCCCGCCCCGCGCCCGCCTCCCCCCACTCCGCGCCCCCCGCGCCCGCCTCCCGGCTCCCCGATCCGCCCCCGCCTCCCCCGGACCCCACTCCGCGCCCCCCGCCCCGCGCCCCGCGCCCCGCTCACCGGGCAGCGTGCGCACGCGCAGGAGCAGCGGCGCGGCGGGCCGCAGGTGGGGCTCGGGCCGCAGCTCCACGCGGTAGTCGGTGTCGGGGGCGAGGCCGGCCCAGGCCCAGCTCGTGGCGCTGCCCGGCAGCTGCTGGCGGCGCGCGGCGGCGGGCTGGGCGGCGGGGGCCGCCTCCAGCACGTAGTGGCCCGAGGCCGCGGTCAGCAGCGGCGGCCAGGACACGCGGAAGCCGCTGGACGTGACCTCCGAGGCGCGGAGCTGCGGCTGCTGCTGCCCGGGCTGCATGGCGTCTGCGGGGGAGGGAGCGGGGGTCAGGGCGCCAGGCCGCCTGCTCCCAGGCCCCGGCCGGGGCTCCGCCCGCTCCGGGGAGACCGGAGAGGGAGGCGGGGTGGGGACCCCACCGGGAGATGCAGGGACAGGAGCGTGGGGAGCCGGGCCAGCTCACCGCGCCCAGCAGATGCTAAGGATATGCAAATCCATATGCAAACCGGGGACAGGGCCGGGGAAGACAGGAATGCACCCCCCCCCCCCCACTTCTGGCCTCATGAGGAGCTTCCCTGCCCCAGCCCCGGCCCCCACCCGGCCCCAGCCAGCGGGAAGCCATCTAGGCCTGGACAAGCCCCTGGAAGGTGACAGCCCCAGAACAGAGCTCCTCTCCTCCCCTGCCCCCCAGCCAGAGACCCAGGCCTGGGTCAGCTTAGTTCTGGAGAGTCAGGGCAGAGGGGGGCCACCGGCCGCCTGAGGGCGGTGAGGATGGGCCAGGAGCAGCGGGAGGGACGGGGGCTGGGCCTGCTGCGGGATCCCCGACCCGCGTTACTCCGGAGCCTTCCAGGACAGAGAGGGCGGATGTGGCGGGTTCGTGTCTGGGCAGGGTGAAGCCTGTCACCGTCCTGATCCTGTTGCTTCCTCCTCTGATGCCGGGGCCCCGGCTGCCAGCCTGGCACTCACCCCCCTGCCCTTCCCCCACACAGAGACCCACTCCCGTCCCCGGAGCCCCCGTGGCCCCCACACCCCCCTCTGCTGGCTGCCCTGCAGCCTCCGGCCGCTGCCCCTCCGGGCTCAGCCAGAGGAGTGGCCGACCGGGGCCATCAGGGGCCCGGTGTCCCCGGAGCAGAGTCTCAGAGGCTCCTGGTCCCCCGGCCACCCACAGGCCACCCTCCTCTGGCCCGGCCTCTCCTGGCTTCGGTGGGTGATTCACCCACAGGCGGAGGCTCAGAAAGAGCCCGGGGTCAGCGGAGACAGGCCCTTCGTTGCCAGCCCCGCCTCCCGGCGGTTTGGCTGGGTCCGGGGTCCAGGAGAAGGTCTTTGGGGAGCTGCTAGGGAACCTGCTGAAACCCCTCCAGCTGTCCTCACCCCGGGGTGTGTGTGTGTGGGGGGGGGATTGGGGCCAAGGACAGCCCCAAGGAGGGCTTTCTGGGCCCCGGCACAGGGACAGGAGGACCTGGGGCCCCCCTGTGAGTCCTCCGGCTGTCAGTGCCTTTCCCTTCCTCTCCCCTCAGCCACACCCCCCCCCAGTGCAGCCCCTGGGCCTACCCCAGGCCCCCCACTCCATGGGGCCTCCTCCAGTGTGCTGGGCCCCTCAGAGAGCCTCATGTGGAGATGTCTGCACAGGCCTGCCCCCCGTCCCTCCACAGCCCAGATGGGGGCGCCTCCCTGGTGAACCCCGAGGGACACCTGTCCTGCAGCCCTGGCCCCCACTCCAAGCAGACACACTCCTCCTAACTCTCACCCTGGGCCCAACCGGCGTGGCCCAGTGGCAGACTGCCGACCGGGGAGCCAGGAGGTCACGGTTTGATTCCCGGTCAGGACACAAGCCCAGGTTGTAGGCTCCGTCCCCAGTGGGGGGCCATGCAGGAGGCAGCTGATCAATGGATCAATGATTCCCTCTCAACATGGATGTTTCTCTCTCCCTCCCTCTCCCTCCCCCTCTCCCTTCCTCTCTGAAATCAATAAAAATACACAGATTTTAAAACCCCACGCCAGCTCTCCTCCGGCTGGGTCAGCCCGGGCCCCGCCCGCCCCCGCCCGCCCGCCCACCTACCAAGGATGGCGCCCCGCAGCTCGCCGGCGATGATGGGCAGGTCGTCCACGTCCACGAAGTGCAGGTGCCGCTCGGCGGGCGCCGAGGCGGCGGCCGACAGCTCCAGGCGGTTGCTGCGGCCGGTGCTGACGATGAAGACGGTGACGCCCCGGTCCTTCAGCTCCTGCATGGGGGGCCCCACGGGGTCGCTGGAGCCGCCGTCTGTCACCCACACCAGCACCTTGGGCACGCCGGGCCGCGCCCCCGCGGCCTCGGCGAACAGCTGCTCCTTGGCGTACGCCAGCGCCAGGCCCGTGTTGGTGTTGCCCATGCGCTGGGCGGCGGTGAGGATGGCGTCCTGGACGGCGGCCCCCGAGCCGTGCCGGTCGAAGGGGAACTCCGAGTGGGGCCGGCTGCTGACGTGCACCAGGCTGGCACGCACCGCCCCGGGGCCCAGGGGCAGGGGGGCCGCCAGCTGGCCCAGGAACTCCCGGACCCGGGAGAACTCATAGTGAGTCACGCTGGCCGAGCTGTCCAGCAGAAAGAGCAGGTCCCCCTGGGGGGCGGCTGCCTGGGGCGCTGCGGGAGAGGGGGGCAGGGTCAGCCCCACGCCCAGGGGGCTCCCCCAGCCGGAGCCCCCCTAAGCGGGCCTTCCCTTCACCCCAGGAGCCCCCGAGAGCCTGCTCATCTCTCCCCAGAGGTCCTGGGTGGTATCCAGGGCAGAGGGGCCCACGCTGCATCCTGGCCATGTCCCGGGGGGTTCTCGGGGCTGCTATCCGGTCTCCAGGCCTCACACCCTCCCGTTCCCCGGGGCCTGTCAGCAGGCGGGAGCCCTGGTCCCGGCCCAGCCCAGGAGGGGCGCGTGGACGGCCGGGGTCAGGGCTGCTCCCTCAGGTGCGCGCGTCTGCAGCCACACAGCTCGGTCCCAGGTGAGGCCGGCAGGTGGGACTTGGGGGGAGTCTGGGTGCGGACAAAGCGGCTCAGAAGGGGAAGCTGGGGAGCAGGGGGAGACAGACGCTGATCGCAGGCCCGCCCACAGCCAGATGGCTGCGCTGCCGGAGTTCTAACCCCGCTCACGGGTGATGTCACCCTCCCCGGCCCCCGGCCCCTGCTCCACCCGCACCCAGGAAGCGGCTCCCTGCCCAGCAGCCCGAGGGTCCCCCGGGCCCCCCTTCCTGCCCAGTGCCCTGCGCCCCGGGCACTCGGGGTCGGGGATGTCCGGGTCCTGGGTGAGGCCGTGGGGCCCCCGTTTCCCCTGGTTCGGGGGGTGACCCCAGCTAAGGGTCCTCTAAGGAGAGGGAAACGGAGGCAGCGGCCTCCCGGGGGACCCCCCCCCCCGTCCGGCCCCGCGCCCCGCGCTCGGTGCGGTCCCCTGGGGCATCGGGCGGTCCGCCGCCGCAGGTGGGTGGGAGCCCGGCCGCCCCCGCCCCGCAGCCGCGTGGGGGCCCGGGGACGGAGGGCGCCCGGCCGGCCCCGCGCCCGGAGCCGGGCCCGCACTCACCGCGCTCCGCGCCGCCCCGCGCCAGCGCCAGGCCCAGCGCCAGGCCGAGCGCCGTCCAGGGCAGCATCCCGCGCGGCCGCCCGCGATCGGACTCCGCGAGCCCCTCGCGCTCGCTGCTGGGCGGCCCCGCGCGGCCCGGCCGGACCCGCCCCCGGAGGCCCCGCCCCGGCGCGCTCCGCGGGGAGGGAGGCGCGCGCACGCGGAGGGCCGGGCCGCGCGCCCGTGGGCATGTTTGCGCGCAGACACCCGGCGGCCTGGAGGCCCTGGGTCCGCCCTGCCCTCTGCTCCCTGCTCCCCGCCAGGGGCCCCCCAAGCTGGGTCATCCCAGGCCCGCTGCCCAGGTCTGCGCGGTGCTGGGGGTCCCTGGAGCCAGGCCCCAGAGGACCTAGGAGGGTGGGGGGAGGGGTGCCCCCAACAAGGCCCCTGCGGGGTGACAGGGCTGGGGGAGAGAGAGGTGTCTGGGGGTGACATGTGTCCCCAAGAACAGACCCGCAGGGACTGGAAGGGCTGGACTTCGGAAAGACACAGGGCATTGGACATGGCACCTGGGGATTCGTGGGGGGCACAAAAGCACCCCCACCCCGACTTCTTGGGGGAAGAGGTATGGGAGCTGGGGTGGCTGTCCAGGCCCCGTCCAGGGTGACCACGTGGCCTGTTGCTGGCCCCATGCCCCCTGCCGTGGGGGGCCCAAGGCCTGGGCTGAGGTCCATCTCCACGCCCGGGGACAGACGCCCAGCAGTCGGCTGTGGCCCCCTCTCCTCTGCCGGGACCCTCACTCCTCAGCTGCCTTCCTGGGGGATACCCCCTCCCGGCCGCTCCTCTCCGCGGGGCAGCGGCCCAGGTCCCCCAGGGCAGCTCTGCCAGGATGTCCCCTCCCCTCCCGCCCCCGGGGGATGCTCTTTGAGGAAGAGGAGGAGGAGGAAGACGCTGGGACCTGGTGGTTTCCTTCCTCCCCCTGGCAGGTGAGACAGCGGCGGCGGCAGACCGCCGAGCTCCGCTTTGCCTAAAAAAGGAAGCGCTCTAGCCGAGCCGAGCCGAGCGAGGAGCCCGGAGCCGCCAGGGCAGGAGCAGAATGAGAGCTGTGTCCCGGCCGCCCCCGCCCCCCCTCCCGGCAGTCTTGGCAGCGGCGCCTGGCTGGGCTCCACGGACCTCAGGCCTCGGCGGGACCCGAGGCTGCAGGCACTTCCGCCTGGGCCCCCGAGGAGCGTGGGCCGGGTCCCCGAGACCCGCTGTGCTGGCTGCCTGGGGGAGCCCCCGCGGCCCCGGCTCTCCAGCCCCGAGGCTCCGGCTCTCCAGCCCCGCGGCCCCGGCTCTCCAGCCCCGAGGCTCCGGCTCTCCAGCCCCGAGGCTCCAGGCGGCTGTGGAGGGGACCGGAGCGGGAGCCGAGGCCGGGCCAGGCAGCAGCCACGGCAGGAGGCCCGGGCCCCCCTCCCGGGTGGCACTCCACGCAGACACATCCAGACACTTGTCCTTCACCCTCCCTGTCCCTGGGCACCCCCACCTGCTGGGGACGGAGCTGGGCTGTGGGGGCCCCTGGCACGGCAGTGGCTGCCCCACCAGCCCCCCATGCCTGCCCGCGGCTGGACCTGCCGTGCAGCCAGGGCGGCTGACGGGGAAGTTTCCGTCCCTCCTCCTGGAAAAACTGAGCGGGTCTTCTTGGCCGCGGCTCAAACCCTCGCGGAAGCAGCTGCCCTCGTCCTCCCGTCCCTGCCTCGGAAGGAGAAGGGGCAGGAGTCCCCGCTCAGGTGCCCTCGGCCAGAGCCGCAGCCCAGCCCCCCCAGCCCCGGCCCGGAGCGCCCAGCCCCGGCCCCCAGCCCCAGCCTGGAGCGCCCAGCCCGGCCCCTCCAGCCCCGGCCCCCAGCCCCAGGCCCCCCAGCCCCAGGCCCCCCAGCCCCGGCCCTCCCAGCCCTGGTCCCCCCAGCCCCGGCCCTCCCAGCCCTGGTCCCCCCAGCCCCAGCCTGGAGCGCCCAGCCCGGCCCTCCCAGCCCCAGGCCCCCCAGCCCCAGGCCCCCCAGCCCCGGCCCTCCCAGCCCTGGTCCCCCCAGCCCCAGCCTGGAGCGCCCAGCCCGGCCCCCCCAGCCCCAGCCCCCCCAGCCCCAGCCCCCCCAGCCCCGGCCCCCCCAGCCCCGGTCCCCCCAGCCCCGGCCCTCCCAGCCCCGGTCCCCCCAGCCCCGGCCCTCCCAGCCCTGGTCCCCCCAGCCCCAGCCTGGAGCGCCCAGCCCGGCCCCCCCAGCCCCAGGCCCCCCAGCCCCGGCCCAGAGCGCCTCCTCAGCCGGGCTGGGGTCACGTCTGCTCACGTGGAGTTCTCACCTGACCCCCCGAGACCCCCTGCCTCCTCCTGAGCCCCACTCCCTCCCGGGCCTGTCTCATGGCTGGTCCTGCAGCCCCACCCGCCTGGGGAGACAGGGCCAGAGGAGTCCTCAGGGAGCGAGGGTCAGCCAGGGGTGTCCTGGTCAGGGTTAGGGCAGACGCCAGAGGAAGCACAAATAGAACGGTCCGGAAGGCTCCTCTCCAGGCGGCAGCCAGGGCCGGAGGGGCAGGCAGGGGAGATCAGAGGCTCTGAGACCAGCAGGCCTCTCCCTGCCCCGGCCCCATCCCGGCCCTGCTCAGTCCTGACCTTGGCCGGCTGGGAGCCCCCGGCATCACTTCCCAGAGCTGGCCCACCCCCGGCTGCCCAGGGGCAGGTGGACGGGGTTCCGGGAGCCCAGGCGCCGCCCGCCTGCCCCCACCCGGCCGGTGGGCGGGAGAGCCTCCCTCCTCCGCCCGGTCCAGGCCTCTGGGGAGAAGAAGGGCCTTTTGTGCCCGGCGCGCTGCGGTCATGCTGATCCCAAGGAAAAGGGCAGCTCCCGGGGCCTCTGACCTCACCCCTGACCCCAGCCCAGGGCTCTCCCCCCACCCTGTGGGGTGCCCCCCTCCAGCTGTTTATCGTGGTCACTGGGTCTACCCACACACACAAGCCAAGAACAGACACAGCAGAGGGAGGTGCAGGGGAAGCTGGGGCCCCCGGACCTCACCCCACAGCGAGAGTGGAACCAGGGACGCGGCTGAGAGCAGCAGGCCCCTCCCACACATTCTTCTAGACTCAACAGGCCTGCCCGCCCGCCTGCCTGCCTGTGGTCAGAGACTGCCAGGGCCTCAGGGCCTCTCTGGGGTCTGCAGGTCCCAGCCTCTCACTCCCCGGGACCCGGGCCTGCACCCTGAGGCCCTAGACTAGGGGTGTCGAACTCAATCAGAGAAGGGGCCAAAATCTAAAATCCAGCCTAAATCGCGGGCCAAATGGTTTACTGAACAGTCATAAACTGTCATTGTGATGGAAACGCAGTGGAGTGCAGTGATGACAGCGCGGTGCGGGCCACATTGCAAGGCCTGGCGGGACGGATTTGGCCCGCGGGCCATGTGTTTGACACATGTGCCCTAGACTAAGGTGACCAGACGTCCCGCTTTTGGCGGGACAGTCCTGATTTTTAACAACTTGTCCGGCGTCCTGCAGCCACGCGGGAATAATTGTTAAAAATCATGACTGTCCCGCCAAAAGCGGGACGTCTGGTCACCTTACCCTAGACTGACCCCTGCTCGGTCCCCCTGCCTGGCAGGGTGGGCAGCCTGAGCACCGGGTGGGTGCTGCCATCTGTAGTCACCCGTCCTCGACGTTCTATCCACTGAGCCAGACCGGTTTTGGCTAAAAATGACTTCTTTTACCTCTGTTTTTCCAAATAAACATGTGCTCACCACGTGAGTCTCGGTTCTGAAGTCTTTCCGAGCCAGAATCAAGTACCAGGTCCAGTCTGTCACCACGGGCCTGACTCCTGACGCCGTTCCCACCGCCTGCCACGGGGACTCGCCAGTCCTGGGCACCATTCCCGTCCTCCCGGCACCCCCGGGTCAGGAGGGGGACACGCGGTGGTGTGCCTGCAAAAATGCCCACGGGGGGGGGGCCGTGCCAGAGCCGGATGCAGTGGCTACAGGACGTGCTAAGGCCCTGGGGTTGCGGCAGGCGGGTGTGTGAGGGCTGCAAGGAGGGCTGGGGGCCAGGAATGGCGGGCGAGGGGTGCAGGGCCTTCATGGGACCGGCCAGGGCCCAGGGGAGGGCGGGGCTGAAGCAAGGCCTCCAAGGAGACACCTGGGTGGCCGCTGCCGGACGTAGAGCCTGCTGGGCAGGGGTGGGTGGCAGAGAGGAAGTCAGGCATCCAGACGGCTCCTGGGTGTCAGCCTGTGCAGGGAACGGACAGTGGGGTCCTCCCGAGGCGTCCCCCTCCTCACCCCTCCTTTGGTTCCCTCTGCTGGAGCCTTCGGTTACCGGACGTGACCCCGGCACCCTGCCCCTGCTCCAGGCAGGGAGGGTCTGGACAGGCTGGACTGGGAAGGAGGGAGCAGGTAGGCAGTCCCCAGTGGCGGGAGTGGGGCCCAGAGGACAGGGGCCATAGACCTCAGAGCCAGCGCCAGACCCTGCCTGTTACCACCGAGGGGTCCCGACAGGTCACACAGTTCACCCCACAATGGGCCTCCGTGGCTGGCAGGTTGTTTGGAGCTGAAGGCACCCATAGGCTCAGGCTCAGGAGGAACCTGGCCCCGCCCTCACTGCCTGGGGGACTGACGCAGGGGCCACGCCCAGTGAGACGTGGTCAGCCTCTGGCCCATCAGGATGTGTGTGTGTTTGTTTTCTGTTTATATATATATATATATATATATATATATATATATATATATATATATATATATATTTTTTTTTTTAATATATTTTATTGACTTTGTACAGAGAGGAAGAGAGATAGAGAGTTAGAAACATCGATGAGAGAGAGTCATCGATCAGCCGCCTCTTGCACACCCCCTACTGGAAATGTGCCCGCAACCAAGGTACATGCCCCCTACCGGAATCGAACCCGGGACCCCTCAGTCCCCAAGCCGACGTTCTATCCATTGAGCCAAACCGGTCTCGGCTGTTTTAATATATTTTATTGCTTTTTTACAGAGAGGAAGGGAGAGAGAAAGAGAGGAACATTGATGAGAGAGAAACATCCATCAGCTGCCCCCTGCACACCCCCCACTGGGGATGTGCCCGCAACCAAGGTACATGCTCTTGACCGGAATCTAACCCGGGACCTTTCAGTCCGCAGGCCAACACTGTCTCCACTGAGCCAAACCAGCCGGGGCTGGATATGTGTGTGTGTGTGTGTTTTAAATATATATTTTATTATTTTTTACAGAGGAAGAGAGATGGATAGAGAGTCAGAAACATCGATGAGAGAATCATCGATCAGTCACCTCCTGCACACTCCCTACGGGGGATGTGCCAACAACCAAGATACATGCCCCTAACCAGAATCGAACCCGGGAACTTCCACTCTATCCACTGAGCCAATCTGGTTTTGGCTAGGGATGTGTGTTGTTGTTTTTTAAATATGTTTTTATTGATTTTTGAGAGGGAGAGAAAGGAAAAAACACCAATGATGAGAGAGAATCATGGCTCTGCTGCTTCCTGCACGCCCCCCACTGGGGACCGAGCCCGCAACCTGAGCATGTGCCCTGACCTCCTGGTTCATAGGTCGACGCTCAACCGCGGAGCCAGGCCGGCCGGGCTCAGGGGGCCGTATCTGCCATGTTCATTTCTGTCTCTGGTCCTCTCGTGCATGTGGGGTCTGACTCGCGTGTACGCAGGCTTCTCATGCACACGTGTGTCCGGAATTTGGGGATTTCCTATTGCTCCCCGGTCTCATGTCTGTTTCATTCTTCGAGCAGCTGGAGGAACCCGGGTATGAGCCAGAGTGTCCCTCCCCCCCCCCACCCTCCCCCACCCCCCCGTTTCCCGCACAGCACCCCTGCCTGGCCCGCATGCCTGGGCCTCTGAGGGCAGGGCTCATACCTGGGTGCAGGCTGGAGGGACGGAACTGGCCCGGTCCCTGACCCCTCCTGGCCGCGCCTTGGCTGCTGAGGGTGTGCCGGCTGACGCCTCAGCTCCCCGGAAATGCTTTGTGCATGAATACATGACCTTGGGCAGGTCAGGGAACCCTGCACAGCCTCCAGCCTGTGAGGTGAGACAGCGGCTCCCGTCCCCCAGCCCAGGGGTGAGGGGAGGCAGGTGGGATAGATGTGCACAGGCAGAAGCCAGAACACACACACACACACACACACACTGCACACGTGTGCACATATGCACACACAATGCACATGTGCACAGACACAAGCCAGAACACACACACACACACAATGCACATGTGCACAGACACAAGCCAGAACACACACACACACACACACACAATGCACATGTGCACAGACACAAGCCAGAACACACACACACACACACAATGCACATGTGCGTGCACACACGGGTGTGTGGAGGCTCCCACAGCCAGGACACGGGCCTGGGCACCTGGGTGGGGAAAGAGCTGGTGTTGTCCCAGTGGGGCCTCCCCTGCCCCACCCAGTAGCAGAAAACTTGCTTCCCTCTGAGTGTGGGCCCTGGAAGGGTGGAGGGGCACTGGGTGGGGATGAACGGGCCGTTCCAGGCTGAGATGAAGGGCTTTTCTCTTCTTTTTCTTAAATGTGTTTTTATTTATTTCAAAGAGGAAGGGAGAAGGAGAGGGAAACATCAGCGATGAGAGAGAATCCTTGATCGGCTGCTCTCTGCAAGGCCCCCTCCTCCGGAGCAAGCCCACAACCCAGGCCTGTGCCCTGACCAGGAATCAAACTGCCATCTCCTGGTTCATAGGTCAACGCTCAGCCACTGATGCACACCGGCCGGGCTGAAGTAGCTTTCTTGGTGGGGGGTGGGGTGGGGAGCAGAAGCTGGGGGCTCAGCCTGGGGGGAGGGGGAGCTGAGACCCTGAAAAGAGGGTCCGGTCAAGGGCATGTACCTTGGTTGTGGGCACATCCCCAGAAGGGGGTGTGCAGGAGGCAGCTGATCGATGATTCTCTCTCATCGATGTTTCTAACTCTCTATCCCTCTCTCTTCCTCTCTGTAAAAAATCCATAAAATATATTAAAGGGAAAAAAAAGCAGACCCCTGACCCTCTGTGAAGCTCTCACAGCCCCTCACCGGGGTCTTAGTGAACAGGTGGGGCAGAGCTGGGGCTGAGGCGGGACTTCCCTGGGGCTCGGGGCTGGCCTGGGACACGGGGACCCTCCTTAGGGACCCCAAGGTTCAGGCAGCTGGGCTCCCCACCCCCAGGCCCAGCTGTTGTTTGGTGACTCCGGGGCCAGGCCTATCCTCAGGGGAGTCCTCCTCCCGACGCCGGCCAGGGCCAGCCCAGCCCCGGCGGGCGGGAAGGAAGGTGGCCTGGGCCACAGGAAGTCTCCTGGCAGCCGGGCGGCCGGCCAGGCTCCTGTCTGACGGGCGACCGCATCAGAGCTGCGCACAGACAATCGGACCCCCTCCCCGAGGACTCCCGCTGGCCCTGGGCCAGCCTGCGGGCTCCGCTCAAGGCCACGGGACCAGCCCTGACTCTGCCGGGGCCTGAACCGCCAGCCCCGTTGCTGGAAGCCCTGCCGGCCGCGGGCGGAGTCCAGCTGGCAGTGCGGCCAGCTCCATCCTTTAAAGGCCTTTTGGCTACCGCCAGACGCGGGCAAATTACAACAAGTGCACATGTGGAACGCAGTGCTGGGCTTACAGAGAAGTAAATATCCCCGAGGTCCCTCCAGAATTAGACACTGCGAGAGGATAAACAGGAGGAGAGGGAGCAGAGGCCCAGGAAGATGCCTGAACGCAGATGGGGAAGCGGCGGATTCTCTGGACGCAGGGTCCGAGAGCCACCCTGCAGGCCGAGAGCCACCCACCGGGCACTGGGGCCACCCACCGGGACCTGACCGGCTGGCCCTGCCTCCCTGCCGGAGGCCTTGCTGGAGGGAAGCGGAAACATGTAACAAAGCTGGAGCCCGAAGACCAGCCAGCACGCGGCATGGTTAGGTGCAGGCTGTAAAATGACTGCAAGTCCGCCCTAGCCAGTGTGGCTCAGTGGGTAGAGCGTCAGCCTGGGGACTGAAGGGTCCCAGGTTTGATTCCATCCAAGGGCACATGTCTGAGCTGCGGGCTTGATCCCCAGGGGGGCCGTGCAGGAGGCAGCCAGTCAGTGATCCTCTCTCATCATTGATGTTTCTCTCTCTCCCTCTCCCTCTCTGAAATCAATAAAAATATATTTTATTTTATTTTTAAAAATATATTTCTTTATTGATTCCAGAGAGTACGATTGAGACATCAATGATGAGAGAGAATCATCGATGAGCTGCCTCCTGCACGCCCCCCACTGGGGACCGAGCCAAAACCCAGGTATGTGCCCTTGGAATCAAACCTGGGACCCTTCAGTCCACAGACTGATGCTCTATCCACTGAGCCACACCGGCCAGGGCATTAAAGATATATTTTAAAAAAAGAAATATATGATCCCTTGGAACGGGAAACGCCGAGTACACCACGGGGTCAAGAACATCGCGGTCACTGGGAACCAGCTCGAAGCAGAGAACAGAAGGCCACAGACCCGGGAGATCTCACGACGCAGAGAGAACGGACTGCGCCCGCCCTGGGTGCCCGTCCGCACGCCCGCGCTGGCATCACTGGCAGAGTGCTCTGTGCCGCGGGGTGCTCCAGAAGGAATCGAACAGAAAGGTTTCAGGGGAGGGAGGAATGAAGGTGGCTCTGGGAATCGCAGGAGAGAACTCCAAGGACGCCTTTATTGCCAGGAAACTCCACGTCAGCCAGTCTGCTCTGGGGAATCATCATTGCTGCCTCACCTTTCATATTTCAGTTTTTTTTTAAAAAAAGAATGTGTACCCTAGTTTGTATCAAGGGCCATGGCCAAGGGTCAGGGTCATAAATGAAAGAAACCATCCCAAACAAAGGAGGAGGTGTAAAATAATGATAATAATAATAATAATGGTAAATGCTAGCCCTGGGCACCTGGCCCTGGGCTCAGCGTGAGTCTAACCCGGTTTCAGGCTGAGCCCGGCAGCCCGGGCTGAGCTCCTGGTGCAGGATGGGGGTCTCGGCTCTGACACTCGGGGAGCCCCGGCCGAGCAGACCCGGGCACAGGGCCGGCCGGCAGCCGCAGTGCAGAAGCAGGGAGCCCCGGCCCCGGGCCCCTCTGAGAGCCTCCTGGGGGCTTCACAGCCTCCGCGGCGGGGGAGCCGGAGAGGGTGCTGGCAGCGGGGGTGGGGGGGCGCGGGTGGGGGGGGCAGGCTGACTCCAGTCCCGGGGCGTCGAGCGCCACCTCGCGGCTGCTCGAAGCACCGCACGCTGTTTCCCAGCAGGATCCGGGCGCAAACCGCGAGCTCGCGGCCCGGGGCGCACTGATGGGGGGTCACAGAAGATGAGGTTCGGGGCCTCTCGGATCCGGAAGTTCGGGGCCTCCGGAGGGCCTCTGGGTCACACAGAGGATGTGAGGTTCGGGGCCTCCGGAGGGCCTCTGGGTCACACAAAGGATGTGGGGGTTCGGGGCCTCCCGGATCCGGAGGTTCGGGGCCTCTCCGGTCCGGGGGTTCGAGGCCTCCCGGTTCCGGAGGTCCGGGGCCTCCCGGGTCCGGAGGTTCGGGGCCTCCCGGGTCCGGAGTCTCGGTCCTCGGGAGCGCCTCTGGGTCACACCCAGGCGCACAGCTGCTCCTCGCCCTCGGGGCGGCGCTCCTCCAGCTCCCTGGCGCCGGACGCTGGGCGGCGGCCGGGTCCCCGGGCCCAGACGGGGGGCGGCAGCAGCGGGCGGAGGCGCCGGGCCAGGCGGGCGCGGGCGGCCGAGGCGAGCGCCAGCAGCGGCGGCAGCGACAGGAAGCCCAGCACCAGGAGCGCCGCGGCGGCGCGGTCCGTGAGCAGCGCGCGGCACGCGGGGCTGGGCGCCGGGTGCACCTGCGGGCGGGCGGGCGGTCACGTGGGGCTGGGGGCGGGCGGGAGGTCAGAGGGCGGGATGTCAGGGGCGGGGCCTAGAGGGGCGGGGCGGGCCAGACAGTAGGGGGCGGGCTCTGGAGGGTGGGCGGGGCCAGGCAGCAGGGGGGGGGCGGGGGGCGGGATGGAGGAGCGGGGTCTGGGTGAAGGGGCGGGGCGGGGTCTGGGTGACTGGGGGTCTGGGTGGTGGGCGGGGCCAGGCAGCAGGGAGGGGCGGGGCCTGAGTGACTGGGGGTCTGGGTGGTGGGCGGGGCCAGGCAGCAGGGAGGGGCGGGGTCTGGGTGGATGGGGGTCTGACTGGTGGGCGGGGCCTGGCAGCAGGCGGCGGGTCTGATTGGGGCGTGGTCTGGGTGGTGGGCGGGGCCTGAGGTCCTGTGGGGTCTGTGCTGAGGCTGCTGTGGGTCTGTCATTTCTCCGCCAAGGAAGGAGCTCAGGGACCCATTCACCGGAGTCCACACGGCGAACGGCCAGAGTAGGGATCTCTCCAGGGGAGGCTCAGCGAGTCCCCGCCCTCCCCGCTGTTGCCCGACCCCCCTTCCCCAGCCACACACACTGCTCCCCCGACCCTCCTCCATGCTGGCATCTGGCCCGGACCCCGGACCTGTGGGTGTCAGCTGGTGTCACCTGCTCTTTAGCGACCCCACGTCCCTCCCTCGCCTTAAGCCTACAGAAAGGGACACAGCGGCTCATCTGCCATCACCCTCCCCGCCCGGGACCAGGCCACAGCCCACTGCACATGGGGAGCCCGGCCCAGGCAGGAGGGTGTGCCAGGGGCTGTGTGTGTTGGGGGTGAGGGATGGGATGAGGCTGTGGACTGGTGAAACCTGACATCCTCTCCTCTTCCTGGAGCCCTCTCCTCCTCCCACCCTGCCCAGCTGCCCGGCCCTGGTGGCCCCTGGTACGAGGCGGGGGCCTCCGGGAGGGGCAGGGCTGTCCCCAGAGTGCGGACAAAGGCCCTTCTTCTGCTGTGGCCCACGGGGAGGGGCCGGCAGGAGGAGGCCCTCCGGGGAGGGACACACACGTCTCTGGGGGCAGGGGGAAGGCTCACCCTCAGGCCCCCTGCCCTGAGCTCCCCCAGGACCCCACGCCCCGGAGTCCCCGCCTGTGCCCCCCTGGGGCCCAGCTCACCCTGGAGTGGCACAGGAATCCCAGGTAGATGACGGCGGCCGCTGGCGTCAGCACCAGCAGGAACACGGCCCCGGGCAGCAGCAGGTGGAGCAGGAGGCCGGCCAGCAGCCGGCTGGGCAGCAGCAGGGCTGCGGGTCCGGCCCTGCAGTCTGGGCGCCTTCGGGGCAGCAAGGGCGCCGTGTCGGATGGGCCCCTTCCCTCGTCCTCCTCCGTCTCCCTCTCCTGCTCGCTCATGCTCTCCCAGCCGCCGTCAGACAGCGACCAAGACCCCTGGGGTCACCTCTGGGTCCGACCCCTTCTCAGACCTCGGCAGCCAGAGACTGGACCCGAGTGGAGGGCAGGACCCTGAGCCGGGAAGGTCCAGCCCTGACCATCCGTCACCCCTGCCTCCGTTTCCCCACGGCCAGGCGGCGGGGCCTCTGTCTGCCGGGCGGGCGCCTGCAGCTCCGGCCCTGGCCAGCCTCTGTGGCCAGCTCCTGTGGGCCGGACCCTATGGCCTGGCACTGGGGCCCTCCTCCCTCCTGGCCCCGCCCTCCCCGCAGCCCCCGCCCCGGCAATGACGTCATCTCATAGGCCTTGGCTATGATCACTGCCCCATCAGGAGCTGGTCTCCCTGGACCCCGCTTCCCCGCCCTGGTTCCTGCTGGTCCCTCCGTTCCAAACCTGGCCCTGCTCAGCCTCGGAGCGTGGGAGAGGGGGGTGCCCACACCCTGGACCTGGGAGAGGACGTGGGACCCGGCACCCGCTGGCTCGCCATGACGGCAGCCCAATCCCTCCTGAAACTGGGGTCACTGGTTCCGTCATTTCTTTATTTTGTTTAATCCTCACCCAAGGATATTTTCCCATTGAGTTTTATTTATTTTATTTTTTTAAAATATATTTTATTGATTTTGTACAGAGAGAAAGGGAGAGAGATACAGAGTTAGAAACATCGATGAGAGAGAGTCATCGATCAGCTGCCTCTTGCACACCTCCCACTGGGGATATGCCCGCAACCAAGGTACATGCCCTTGACCGGAATCGAACCCAGGACCCTTCAGTCCCCAAGCCGACGCTCTATCCATTGAGCCAAACCGGTTTCGGCTCCCATTGAGTTTTAGAGAGAGGGGAAGAGAGGGAAAGACAGAGAGACGAATTGATGTGAGAGAGGCACATCGATGGCTTGCCTCCTGCACACACCCCGGACCAGGGCCCCAGGCCGGGGAGGATACTGCAACCTGTCCTTGTCCAGAATTGAACCCGGGCCCCGTGGGTCTGTAGATGCTCTATCCACAGAGCCACACTGGCTAGAGCTGGATTCCATCCTTTCAAGGGGAGAAAAAGCATTCCAGGCCCTTCCAAAAACCCCAATGACTGCCCCCCAACCATCACTAACACCCCCGCCAACGCCCGAACCCGGGTTCCCTGCGAATGGAGCAGACGCCTGAGCCGCTGAGCAGCCACCGGCATCCGGCACTGACACCCCTCTCTCCCGCCTCCGCAGCCACCTCTCCCCGCAAGCTTTTCTCTTTCCCTGTCCCTGTGCCAGGCCTCCCGGGCCCACCGTCTCCCTTCAGACGCCTTAGAGTGGGGAGGCGACCGTGAAGTGGTGAAGTGGGGGGAGCGGGTTAAGGAACACAGGCCCCGTCAGGACCTCGGCAGCTCCCTGGACGCTCATCCACACCTGTCCCCAGGCACAAGCACAGCTCACACCTCAGGGTCTTTTTTTTTTTTTTTTAATATATTTTATTGACTTTTTTATAGAGAGGAAAAGGAGAGGGACAGAGAGCTAGAAACATCGATGAGGGAGAAACATCCGTCATCTGCCTCCTGCACACCTTCTATTGGGGATGTGCCTGCAACCAAGGTACGTGCCCTCGACCAGAATCGAACCTGGGACCCTTGAGTCCGCAGGCCGATGCTCTATCCACTGAGCCAAACCAGACAGGGCAATACCAGGGCCTTATAGGAACTATTCATTTCACCAGTGATGTGTGTGGCTGCTTTTGCTCAGTGGAGAGACCCTCAGCCTACAGACTGAAGGGCCCAGGTTCAATTCCGGTCGCGGGCACGTACTTTGGTTGCAGGCTCCTCCCCGGCCGGGGCCCCCAGCTGAGCAAATGTAGGAGACCCATCGATGTGTTTCTCTCACAGGAACATTTTTCTCTGTCTTTCCCTTTTGCTTCCACTCTCTCTACAAATCGATGGGAAAATATCCGCGGGTGAGGATTTTTTTTAATGTATACTTTTTATTGATTTCTTACAGAGAGGAAGGGAAAGGGATACAGAGTTAGAAACACTGCTGAGAGAGAAACATGGATCAGCTGCCTCCTGCACACCCCCTACTGAGGATGTGCCCGCAACCAAGGTCTGTGCCCTTGACCGGAATCAAACCTGGGACCCCTCCGTCTGCAGGTCGACGCTCTGTCCGCTGAGCCACACCGGTTAGGGCTCGGGCTTGGATTTTGTTTTAATGCTGCAAGTGGTTTGGCTAGTGTACAGACGGCGGCGAGGGTGCCTGTCTCCTCTCTGGCCCCACCCCCTCCACAGGTGAGTCACGTACACACACGCCAGGAGCAGCTCTAGGCCCTGGACTTGGCCGTGATTGAGGCCGACAGAGGGAAGGGCTGCGTGTGCCTGCCCTGACGGCCTTGCCTGAACCCACAGAGGCCGCGAGGAACGTGGAAAGGCTGCCAGGAGGCATTCCCAGGCTCCCCTGGCTCTGACCGGGTACGGGCGGCCCCCTGGGCCCCAGCAGCAAGGACTGGATCCCCAACAACAGGCAGCACTCTCTCCACCCCTCCCCCTGGTGTGGCCCACAACCTGGCCTGTTCTTTTTTTTTTAAATACTTTTTTTTTCTTTCTTTTTTTTTTTTTTTTTTTATGGATTTTAGAGGGGAAGGGAGAAAGAGACAGAAATGTCAACGATGAGACAGAATCATGGATCCGCTGCCTCCTGCACGCCCCACACTGGGGATGGAGTCTTCAACCCGGGCCTGTGCCCTGACTGGGAATTGAACCGGGAACTCCTGGTTCATAGGTCGACACTCAACCACCGAGCTGGCCCGTTCTTTTCGGTGTGACCCTGGGGGACAGGGACGCAGAGAGCTGACACCTTTGCTGCCCTTGCTTTTTCTTTCTTTAAATATATTTTATTGATTTTTACAGAGAGGAAGGGAGAGGCATAGAGAGTTAGAAACATCAATGAGAGAGAAGCATCGATCAGCTGCCTCCTGCACACCCCCTACTGGGAATATGCCTGCAACCAAGGTACATGCCCTTGACCATAATCGAACCTGGGACCTTTCAGTCTGCAGGCCGACGCTCTATCCACTGAGCCACACCGGTTTCGGCGTGCTCTTGTCTTGCTTTTTCTGGCAACGTGAGCAGCGAAGTGTCTGAACCCACCCTGAGTGCTGGCTGCCTTTCGGCCTGAACCTGCCAGCCGGGCTTTGGTCCTGGGAGAGGAAGGCAGACGTTAAAAACCAAACAGATTCTTTCACAGAGTGGTAAGTGTTAGGAAGAAAATAAAACAGGGTCAGGTCGGTGGTCAGGCGGGAGGGCCCCTCTGGGGAGCAGACGTCAGAGCAGGGGGGCCGTGGGGTGGGGTCCCTGTGGCTGGAGCCTGGGCCCCTCAGCCTCCTGCCTGGGGACCCACCCTTGGGACCCGGTACCTGCAAGGGCTGCTCTCGAGGGGGGTGGAGGGAGCAGGACAGGGCCCACAGGACACCCCATCCTTGGGAGCCTGAAGGTGGGGGCTGGGGTGGGAGCAACAGCCCCAAAGCTGTGCTGCCTCCTGGTGGACAGTCACAGAGGCAGCTGGCGCACTTCCTCCTCCTGTCGGACCCCTGACAGGTGGGCTTCCCTGGGGATGAGGAGATGGGAAGGCAGGGCCAGCCCCCCCCTGGCCCAGTCTGCCCTAGAATCAAAGTGACCCGTCCTGCAGGCCTCCCTCAGGCCCCTTCCTTCCTGCAGCACCAGTTCCAGATGCTTCTAGTCTCGTCATAGAAATGCTCCCAGGCCCGGCCGGCGTGGCTCAGTGGTTGAGTGTCGGTCTCTGAACCAGGAGGTCAGGGTTCGATTCCTGGTCAGAGCACAGGCCCAGGTTCAGGGCTCAGTCCCCCGAGTGGGGCATGCAGGAGGCAGACGATCGATCCATGATTCTCTCTCATCACTGATATTTCTCTCTCTCTCCCCCTCTCCCTCTCTGGAAGCAATAAAAATATATTTTAAACATGATACCATAGCCTGGCTCCTCCCTCTCCTGCCCAGCGGTCTGCCTTCACGGCCTCCACTGACCTGCCATCTTGAGGCGATCCCTCCCCGATGCCCTCACCCAGGTTGCCTGGCATGGGAGGGAAGGATCCCACTGTCCCGTCCACCTCCTGGAATGAGGCAGGAGGCAAAGCTCCAGCCCCAGGTGGGTGGTCTCAGTCGGCATCCCAGGAGGGGGGTGAGGGGCAGGGCCTGAGGGAGGGGCCAGGGAAGGCATGTGGGTGCCTGGGGGGGGCGGGGGGGTGGGGGGCCGGGGGGGTGGGGGGGCGGGAGGGGGGAGGGCAAGTCTTGGCGCATTAGAGGCTGCTCCTTGAAGGAGCTCAGTCCAGGGGCTTGCTCCTGCTTGCCTGGTCTTTGTCTGGGTCGGGGAGGGGGGGCACAGGCTGTTGGCAGGGAGGAGGGGACTGGGAGGGGGAGGCTGGGCCTCCAGGCAGGGCCTCACCTTAAGTTTCTGTGTAAACAGTGTGGAGAGCGGCCCTTCACCTGGCCCAGGAGGCACCCGCTCACTCCACCCCCACCCCACCTCCCCCCTACCCCCCACCCCCACCTCCCACATACACCCCACACCCCACACCCCACACCACACACACAGGCAACTGCAGCTCCAGCCTCCAGCCCTCCGGAGCCCACACCCACCTTCACAGGCTGTGGCTGGGCCAGGACGCACATGGAGAGGAGCCCCGAGTCCCTCCCGGGGCAGGCTCCCTCTGGGGTAACTGGGAGCTGAGCCCGGCTGGTGGCCTGGTTGGGGGAGGGGATATAACCGGTCCATGCTGGCCTGGAAAGGGGGCTGGGCCTGGCCCGGCCTCCGGTGTCCACACAGGATCCTTTTCTCCCAGCCAGTCTTGGGCGCCCACAGCCCGGGCAGCAGGGCCTCCCTGAGGCAGCAGCCGGGCAGGAGCTCAGGGGATGGAGCTGGGATCAGTGGATGGAGCTGAGCTCAGTGGATGGAGCTGGGATCAGTGGATGGAGCTGGGATCAGGGGATGGAGCTGGGATCAGTGGATGGAGCTGGGATCAGTGGATGGAGCTGGGCTCAGTGGATGGAGCTGGGATCAGGGGATGGAGCTGGGCTCAGTGGATGGAGCTGGGATCAGTGGATGGAGCTGAGATAAGTGGATGGAGCTGGGATCAGTGGATGGAGCTGAGATCAGGGGATGGAGCTGGGA